CCGGCCCGGGGCTCCCCCTCGCTCTACTCGCTGAAAGCTCTCGGCTCCCCGCCCGCCCCGAAGCAGCCTGTATATATCGAGTCTCCTCGGCCCTGGCCCGCCTCTTTCCTGACGTACATGTCCATATATGGGAGGCAGGAAGCCCTTATATGGTGGCGGGGCAGAGAACCCCGCCTGGCGTCAGAGGCTGACACTGGGGGAAGCCGGCCGGAGCGAGGAAAGGGGGGGTCCTGCCCAGCCGCGCGCCCGACTCTCGCCGCCTGCCGGGGCCCTCGGGGCCCTCTTCCTGGGCACCAGCCTCTGGCCCAGGCCCCCTGGAGGCTCCTCGCGGCCGCCGTGTCTCCCCGCGCCAGCCTCGGCTGCGGCCTCCGGAAGCCCCCGGACGCGGACGCCATATAAGGCCAGGCCCTTATAAGGGCTTGTTCCGGCGCGAGCCTTCCTGCTCCTAATATGGCAATTCCGGCAGAGGCGGGCGGGGGAGCCGCGAGGAGAGCCCGGCTGGGAGGGGGGAAGAGGAGGAGGAGGAGGAGCCGCGGAGGAGTCCTTGGTCTCCCTGCTGCCCTGTGGGGCCAGGCGCTGCGGCACCACCCCCTCCCCAGTCCCCTCCTGCACCGAAAGGGAGAACCAGCGGCCGGCCGGCCGGCGGACCGGGGGGGGGGAGGGAGGTCCCCGCGCAGGAGGATTCCCTCCCCTGAGGCTCCAGGGGGCGCCCCAGGGAACAGAAGCCCCGCAAGCCGGCGGTGAAGCCAAAGCCGCAGGGGAAGGGTCACGGGCGCCAAAACCGTCCGTCGCCAGGGGGCGCTACGAACCACCCCGTGCAAATAGCCGGCCAGGGTTTGGGTTCACGACCACCTGCAGATTTCCTGCACAGTCCAGAGCAGTCAGGGCAGCGACCTCCCCGCGAGTGCATATAAGGCTTCCAGTCCGCGTCAGTGCTTGTGCATTTGGGACAAGGGAGTGGTACTCGTCTCAGAATCGGGAGCACAGAGGGCTTTCCCAGTTTGCCCTTCCCAAGTTGTTTCCATCCTACCCCGTTGGCGTCTCCTGACGACCATTATATTGCGACCATTTACCAGCGTCCTGGGTATTTGCGATGTGCTTGCACACTGCAGGGAAAGGGTCGCTGGCCGCCTACCTGGCGTGGGTGCCTCTGGGCCGCGCACGAGCATTCTCTGTGGCCGCGTAGCTTTGCATGGGGTCGCCTTGCAGCAGCCGGCTAATCTAGGGAGGGACAGGGAGAAGCATGATGCCCATTCCGTCCGACGAGGTAGGTCACGCCACCGAACCCTATCCTCGAGAATCGGTCAGTGGATCTCGGATAAAAAGCAGACCCCCCCCCCCCAAGTAATGTTTTGTACGGTTTGTCCACCCCCCTTTGTGCTTTCATTTTCTATCGCCGTCCTTAATAGATTGGTGGCCAACCTGGTACAAGGCCTTGAGATATGTGCACATCTGGGCAGCTCTCTTAATGAGCCACTTAATGGGGATTTCATGCCCCCATTGCTCTCTCAAGCCCCGCCAGCGCTTTGCAATCCTCGCCTCCTCCTTGACATTGCCTAGCATTGCTGTTTGCTTGGCTAGATGGTGTGTTTGTGTGCGTGTTGGGATGGGATGGGAAGCAAGAGGAAGAATCGAAAAAGCCCTGCCAGTGCCAAAGCACCCTTGGCGCACACACTGCAGAGGCTGCAGCAGCATCTCGTCAAAGGGAATTTCCTGATGATGCGAAATGCAGGGAATCTCGGGGAGCCGCGGAGCAGGCGGCTCGGTGCTGCCCCCTGGTGCCCAGGGCTAGCTGCGACCAAGCGTCGCCTCTGCAGCTGGCGAGGACTGCTGCAGATCTGGCTGGCAGCCGCAGGTGGGATTCGCCCCGCTCCCTTGCGCAGCCCAGGGATTCCTCGCTTCCAGGGAGAAGCCCCTGCTCCTTCCCAGGCGCTCGCTTCAGTATCGTGCCCCCACCCCCTTTCTTGGCTTCTGCCCAAGCCAGAGCCTGAGACGCAGTGAGATCGCACTGAGCCTGCGCGGCCGACCTGCCAGTGCTTTCCCCCGCAGTCCTCCGAGACCCGGCTAGTAGCTCTGAGCGAGAGAGCGAGTGTGTGAGAGAGAGCGAGAGAGGCTCCTCGGCTGCAATTAGGTTAGTGCTGCAAAGTGCCGCGGAAGCAACAGCCCAGCACAACACACCGCTCCCTCCACACACACACACCCGCGCGTGGGGCTGAGGAATCCCTGACACTGAAGGGAAATCCTCGGCATCCACACAACCACCAGAGCCTGCCTGCCTGCTGCTGCTGCTGATGGAGAGGGGCCGAACCTCCCGCCCCTGCAGAAGCCTGCCAGGCTCTCTCGCCCACGCCGCTGCAGAGGCAACCCTTTCCGGGGAGGAGGGGGGGGGAGGAGAGTCCATCCTTAGCAGAGGATTCCCTCCTCCTCCTCCTCCTCCCCCCCCTGTTGCCCAGCTTCATTCTCCACCATGGGCGCCGCGGGATCTCCCCGCCCAGCCCAGAAAGGCACACTTTCTGCAGGACGCGGTGCGTGTGTGTCTCTGTGTGGGGGGGTTCCGATCCCCCACCGCCCCAGTTATTATAAGCACACTTTCTGCAGGATGCGGTGCGTGTGTGTCTCTCTCTGTGTGTGGGGGGTTTCCGATCCCCCACCGCCCCAGTTATTATCACCCAGTTATTACCACCCATTTTGACTGTCTCCCGTGAGTGTCCAGGCAGGCGACGGGCGGGAAGGCGGGCGGTCGTTTAACAGCTTTCATTGGAATGAGCTGCCCGCCAGGTCCGAACATCTCCCCCCCCTCACTGCGCATGCTCAGGAGATCCTGTGTGTCGTCGTCTTCCATGTGTTGTTCTCCCGGCCACGTCATTCTGCGGGCTCCGGAGGCTCCCTCTGCCTGGCTGCGGGGCTACTTTCGCTCCACGCTGAAGCACTGGAGAGGGCGGGGGAGAGAGGGAACAGCGAATGCCTGTGCTGCCATTATTGATGAAGCAGACGCTGCCGGGGTAGGCAGCCCTGGCTGAAAATGGCTCCCTCCGAGCTCCTTGCTAAGCAACAATGCTCAGTTTCACTTGGCATTCCTCAATGGTCTGAGAGTGTTCCCGGAAGAGCCTTTCCTTAGTCGAGGTTTTAGACAGGAAGAGCATACTTGAGTGGAGCTTGTGGCATTGAGCGCCATCCAGCCAACCATGATGTGCTCCTAGGTCCAATGGCTGTGAGGCTACAGCATATCATCCAGATGCGTGCTTGATGAATCGTTTTTGTTCCCATGACGGGAGAGCTGAATATATATTTGAAATGTGGATAGCTTCACAGATAGGGGAAACTACTTTGCAACTGAAGCCCATGCGGGTGCGGTCTATGGAAAGGAAGCAGCCCTAAAAGGGGGACTATCTGTGTTCCAATAGCTGTCTGGTGTGGATGCCCCAAGAGGGAAGCCAGGTAGGCAGGGCCCATACATGGGGTGGGGGTGTAATCGGTGCACCAAAGAATAGCCTGGAGGTCCGGGGCCTGGCCCAGGCTGCAAGCACGTTACTGTTGTATGGTTTATTTAAACCATTTTGGAAATTAAAAAAGAAATGTTTTCTTTCATGACCCATGACAATGAGTAGTTTGTAGGAATGAGGTAAAATGGTGTGTGTGTGTTATAAATTTGTACCAGGCCCAGCAAAGACTCTCTTGGCTTTATTTAAAATAAGGAAATGCCCAAAGGTCCTCCCTCAGCACATTCCCCAATCCATCCCATACTGAGAATGGGCTTGCTAGCTTCAGGTCAGTGCATTAGCCAGAGGTTAATGCACATGAGCTATCTCCAGGCTAGCTAGGGATGAAGGGGCAGAGGTCTACGGAGAGGAAGGGACAGATCGAAGAAAGAAACTCTGCCCTGTACCTTCTTCTTGAATTCTCACAGGCCCCCAGCTTAGGTTGTGCCTATATCTCTTGGGTTGGTTGCCTTCATCCTGATTCAGAGCCAATCCAAAATGATGTCATGCTTTGTTTACTTGCAGAATGTCTAGGCTAATCTAAAATTAATTTTCAAAAAGCTGGGACTATAAACCAATCAAATCTAGTGAACATATCCTGCACTGACACTCTGCATTCAGTCTGAGGCATACCATTCTAGCTGAATGTAGTTAAGAAATTATGAAACATGATTGACCAATAAACAGAAGACTTTCTATACTGAGCTTTGGTCTGTTTTGGACTCAGGTCAATATAATTGAGGTAATTTGACTCCATGGTGTCAATCAGAATTGCCCCCATGCTTTCACTGAGAGCAAAGCTTTAAAGTTCCAATACATTTACTCTGGAGCAATTACTGAAGGTAATGAGAATTTCAGAGACCCTGAAGGAACACAGGGTTGCCAGCTTGTTTTTCTGTCAGGGCTTTTATACCCGTAAGAGTTACACAACATTTGGATGTGAGGAAAACGTCACCTGCAGAATTTCTGTTTGTCATGCAGAAGCCAGTTCACATAAGCAGATTGGTTAATGCAGGCTGAGCATGTCTAGATTCAGTAGTAGTTGTGGAAAGGAGGCCATGACACTTTTTCATCACAAATGCAGTTTACAACTTTTTAAAAATCTGGGTTTTTTTCCAATATCCTTTTGGGAAGCCAGCACTGGCAGAATGCAGCCTTTGTCTGTTAGTGCTTTGAATATTTAGCCCAGAGTAATTAAAATGAAGTATAGAGGGCAGATTGCTCCCTAGTGGTATTCAGAACTTTATTTAGGAATTACAAAATATGGGTGCAGAATATTTAGATTAAAAATTAGGCTGAGAGCGGGTTCTCATAGTTTGCATACGAAATGCCAGGGAAGCAAGACTGTTCATCTGCATGATCCTGAACGACCAGCTACACCTCAGGGTTGTTTATATTTGATAAAGCTGCTACATTCTTATTGCCAAGATCACCTTCCACCTTGGCTC